TTTTAATTTGATTTACTGTAAAAACTACTCGTCGCACGCAGTTTTGCTAAAAGAAAAAGTTGTTTCCTTTAGCATAAAAAAATCACGTATTCCAAATGCGAGAGTTTTGGGACAGTATCTTCGATATGATCACAGTACATTCAATATAAATACAGAATATTCGTATGAAATCATGTGTTGATAAGATATATTCGGTATATTCATATGTCATATGAATGTTCTCTAGTATATTAGGCAATAGTACGTATGATCACAGTTCTTTAGTACGAGTGTAGAATATTCGAATGATATCACGTGCTATTAGGGTATGGATCTTCAATAGGATTAAAGAAAGTTTATAATTTTATTGCCAATTTGATTTAAACAGAAGGATCAAATTATTTAATTATTAAAATATTGCTAATTTTCCTGAAATGGAAACAAATGACAGAGGAACGAGAAACAAATAATGAAGACTAAATTCAAGAAGATATGTCAATAGATATGGGACAATATTTATTTAAAAGTAGAGGAAAAGTAGCAAGTACTATGATATTTACTGGCATTGCTGCGACATTACTTCCAAATGGGAGAACTGTACATAAAGTTTTTGGATTATCTGTGCCTCTTTTCAACGATTCTACATCAAGCAGTAAAGTTCAATCTAAAAAAGCTGATAAATTAAAATTCGTAGATGTTTTCATTATGGATAAAACTCCTATGACATCACGTTATGTATTAGAAATAATGGATAGAACATTACGCGATATAATGCAAAATGATTTATATTTTGGTGGAAAAATCATGCTTCTTGGTGGGGATTTTAGACAATTATTACCTTAAAAAGAGAACTACGCGTTGTGAAATTATAAAATTATCTATAAAATTTAGTACTTTATGCAAATAATTTAAAATATTTTCATTAACGAAAAATATAAGAGCTTTACCAAAAGAAAGAGAATTTGCATTTTTACTAAATTTAGGTACTTTAAATGATTAATCAAATAATGTTCAAATTCCAAAAAGATGTATTGCAAGTATTAATTCAGATATGATAAAGGAAATATATAACACATAAAAGAGATAAAGCTATTGCTAATTACGTTATATTAATTGCAAGAAATATCGATGTTGACGAAATAAACGAAAAAGTAATAAATTTGTTGAATGAAAGAACAAAGAAAATTTATACAAGTGTAGATACTCTTTAAAAGACTAAGACGAGGAAATACATGAAATAATTATGACAGAATATCTCAACTCTTTAAATCCAACGTGTCTTCGACCACATGACCAATTACATTTGCGAAGATATACTGTTGTTACACTTATACTTAAAAATCTTAATATTAGTGAAGGTTTGTGTAATGATAAGGTTGTGTAATGGTAGATTGTTAATGTTAGATTTGAATAATAATTTGAATATTGATTTGAATAATATTATGATGTGAAATTTTGACAGATAATAAAACTAGAAAAATTGTTTTTCTTGATTGTATCACTTTATATTATAAAAATATATACCCATTTACTTTCAAAAGAAGACAATCCAATAAAAATTAGCATTTGCTATGATTGTTAATAAATCACAAAAACAAATTTTCGAAAAAATTGCAGTGAATCTTTGCAAAGATATTTTCAGTTATGGACAATTGTATGTTGCATTATAAAGACTGCATTATATTTTTGTTTACTTTTATTATATGTAATAAAATAGAACAAAACATAAATTAAATAGTACATGTTGTATGTATATATGACTTAATGTCAATGGAAAATAAAAGTGAAACAATTCGAAATAAATATTAGCAAAATATACATAAAATATACATGGATGAAGCGCAAATAATATTCTTTTTTAATAAGATTGAAATATACGATAACAAAATTCGAAATGTTGGTATTATGTGTACACACATACGCGTTTATTTTATTTTTGGACATGGATATTGAAAATATTATAAACATTCAAATCATAACTATTTTATGTTTCCTTATTATTAATTTCAAGAGAGTTTTGTGTGTGTGTGTGTGTGTGTGTGTGTGTGTGTGTGTGTGTGTGTGCGTGTGCGTGCGCGCGCGTGCGTGCGTGTCGTGTGCGTGCGTGTACATGCGCGTGCGTGCGTGCGTGAGAGAGAAACTATAAAAGTTTTTTCCTATTTCCTTTTTTCCTATTTTTTATATACTAAAATTACCAATTTTCAGATTAAATTTTTTGTTTAACAATTTTTTAATAAGATATTTTTTTATTAACTTTGCACGACTTTGCATTTTTCCAATATAACTTCAAGCTTTAAAATGGGTTATTTTTATAGAAAGAAATGTTTAGTACAAAAAATATTACAATATATAAATTCAAATTTATTTATACGAATTTTATTTTATATTTCGTAAAATTATTTGATATATCATATAAAGAAAGTAAAGAGAGGATTATTTTTCAACAAAAAATGCTTTTATGTTTTATATTTTGTTGGTCCACAATGATTGATCCGATCAATGTTGAGACAGAGATCACTGATCTGGATTAGTCTAGGGAAATTTAGAGAGTCTATTGGTTGAGTGCCACTGCTTTGTCCAGTCAGAGATCATTTGTCGTAAACACCTAGTACGTTTACACTGCGTTCCGTAACTCACTGCCAGTACTGGCAGTACTATAATGTCGTTCCGAAATTCATTCCAGTGTGCTGCGATAGTACTACAATAGAATAATAACGTCATAAATTTTGTCATCACTTCTTGCTGCGGCTTCTGTAGCTAAAAAGACGCAGCAGTCACAGTACTAAATGGCGATGTTCGAGAAAGAAGAATTAGCCCTACTCGATGCAGAAACAAATATTCAATATAAAATAATAATAAATAAAGAAAACGCACAAAAAGCATTGCGAGATAAAAATAAAGTTTGATATTTATATTATAGCAGATTCGATCATTCGCGCTACACCAAGTTTGTATAAATATTATTATATATATATATGAAATTATTGCTTTAATTGCTTTTCAGGAGAGATCGTACATTTACCTGACTTTCCATCCCTTTCTAAGATTGATATTAATTCCAATTAATTCCTATCCCTATTAATTCCAATCCCTATTAATTTCAATATTAAAAAAATGTATTTTGATGTAATCTAAAATAAATATATTTTAATAAAATTACAGAAACAGTTTATTGTATCTACAAAGAATAAAAGATTATAAAAATATTTTTATACTGAAAGTGAGTTATTAATTCTTTGTTTGTATATCGAGATACTATATCTTCTACAACGTATTTTAGGTATAACATTTGATCTACTTTTCTTTAATATTATTAACATTTCCTCCATTGTATCAGAGTCACTATCAGATTCACCGCTACTTGACTCCATTATATGTGCAATATTATTAATTATAAAAACTTTTTCCATTTTCTTATATTATTATATGATAGCGTCATATGCAGTTGTATGCAATATTGTTCAATCCCATTCCGTTTCCACAATTTCACAATACAGCGATAGTGAACTAGTAAAAACAGAACGCTTGCATAGCACGTCATGCTGACAGTAAGTTATGGAACGCAGCCACGGGCTCCTAACTTCGACTTAGTAACATTGATCTAGTTTCCACCGATGTCTTAATTCGCTTCTGATAGACGTAGAATCAGATTTGAGTCGATGAAAACGCGACAAATTGCGTTCATTTCAATCCCGTTTCGATTCACAAATCTTATCGGAGTGGCAGTGAACTGATACATTTAATCGATGAAAACAATTGAAAGTAGATAATACCAACTTTACTTTTCATAACAGTAGTTGTTTATTATATATCAGTAATCGTTCCGTATAATTGATGATTCAACAAAATTTCAAAATCCATTTTTGTTACACAACTATAAGTGTAATTTATATATGTATTTTTCAGAGGTTTTTTTATTTGTTTTTCATTTGTTTATATTCGATAAACAAAAGTTATGTTGGTTCTATTGAAATGTCAGTCTTTCTCACTTCTACTTTACTTCCGATGGAAACAGCATATTAAATTTGATTCGTAGTAAAATCGAATTGAAACTTTGAGTATGTAGAGATGAAGGAGGAATTACCTATATTTCCTATAAGCCGAGTGTGTCCAAAGTATGTGCGAGAGAGAAAGATATACGAATGATACTCGTCGTCTCTGCGCATGCGTCAAAATCGTAAGCAATAGCTTATTCATTGAAATTGATAAGAAACAATTATCTGTTGATATATTTGGCTATAATTATTTATCAATATTAATAGTACTCAGTCCATATGTCGACGACGTATTTAAATATATCAGTGGATTTGTTGTAAGAAAGTTATTAGGACATGTTTGTCACATTTGTGCAACTTTTGTCACTGAATCGACTGATTCAATTTTGATTACTGTCAAAAACAAAGATAATTTAATTTTTTTTGGATGATGTCATAAAAATAACACAATACTCTTTAGCAGTTATTCGATTAAATTATAATACAATTCGCACTAGAAAAAATATTAAGACAATTATGACTATGAAAATGTTTAACGATGTTTATCATTCAGTGTTTAATTGTGCGCATTGTGCGCTGTCATTAAACTGAATGACAGTGTTCAATGACACATTTTGCAGCAGGATGACAACCATAAAACGCAAATTATTAAAAGCATAATTGTA